TCGCATACTTAGTGAAATCCGAGACGAGGAGTATGTCCGGTTTCCTGCTAAGTTGGGCGATGGACAAAAGGGGTACAATCCGCGGTATCGTTGTACGTTTCACCGGGAGAGGGGCCACCGGACTGAGGATTGTTTGCCTTTGCGACAACATTTGGAAGAATTGGTTGCGGCCGGGCATCTGGACCTTTACATTGATGGCGGCGTGAAACCGAATCAGGCTCGACCGAGGTAGGGCAGCTCGGCTGCCGAGCTCCAGCTATGCTGACAGGCAGTTGAGAGCAGGTGATGAATGGCATGGTTTATGCTGACAGATGGGATAGCAGAGCCACGTGTCAGGAGATGACAGGGAGTGGATATGGGGCTCAGAAGGTATATAAGCATGTCTGCGCCCCCCATACGCAACACACGAACACTCTGTAAGGATTTCTTACACTCAAACACTCTCTCCCTTCTCTCTATTCCCTCTAAGGTGTGTGCTAATTTGACCGTCGGAGGGTGTTTCCGGCCACACACCGCCGGGTAGCTCACCGTTATTTGCTCGCAGGTGATCAGATATCGACGGAACTCGGAAAAAAAGGAATACGGGCACGCCGGAATATTTGCTCCCCGTACAATAGGTTAGAAGAGTGAAAGAGTAGAGAAGAATAGGAGTGTCACCTATGAAGAGTTGCTGGAGATTGTAGAACTGAAACTGAGAGAAAAATTTGAGCTAAAACTAGAGAGAAAAATGAAGAGTTGGTGGGGTATGTAAAAAAAAAAAAAGATAAATCTATCTCTTAACATGGGAAAGAAAGATAGAGTAAGTGAAGAGACACATTTTGGAGGGAAAAAGCTAAAACAAACAAATCATTTTGACCCATAGATGTTTGATAAATATAATCTCAACCCGTCGAATGTGAGACAAAATTTTTTGCTTCAGAATTTTATTTTTTTTTTGGCTTCAGAAAAAAACAAACTGAAGGTAAAAAAAATCGGAGCCATTGTTTAGCATTCAAATTAAAGGTGGGGATGGCGGGATGATGAAAAAAAAAAAAAACAGACGTAAAAAAAATGAATGGAAAAACAAAAAGAAAGTGAGAAGAGAATAGTGCCTTGCCTGGTGATGGTGGAGAAGAGAGCTTTCGATTGAGCTGTGTTCTTCCTTCTTCAAAGTTTTCTCAGAGCTTTGTTCATTGATACATACGATGTAAAGAGTGCCTTACCTGGTAAGTGCAGTGGGTTGGTGAGAGTA